AACATAATTAGTCGATTACTGAAAAGGCATGTACTGTGTTACAAGCTTTGATTCCAATTTAACATGTAATTCAGAGATTTGCACTTCATTTATTCAGCTGATTCTAATAATCATAAATTATTATCACTCAAAAACAATCTAAGATGATGGAGCCATCGATAAAGGCTTAGTCTAAGTTAGATAATTCCAGCTATCGTACACCAGTGATCCCACATAAGATTGAACACATGATCTTCTAATCCCGCACCAACAATCCTACTTCCAAAATTTTTATTCAGAATTTAAGAAATTTACGCATCCAACCTTGGTTAATTGAAAACAGTACAAACTAAATATGGTCAATAATAACTGTCTGACCTCTGGACTGGATTCACTAAATATCTGTCAGTGTCCCATGTGAAATTCGAAAAAATTCATTTCAAATCTATTTGTCAATTATTTAATGACTATTATCGAGCCTAACATTTTGTGACGAACTTCTTGTCTCACAACAGAAATTATCCTTTAATTAAATATCCACGTTAGTTGATAATATCAAGTAATACTTTGATTTTATTTATATACTACTAAAAGTCTTATGATTATTGGCCACATATTTAAACCAGTTTGATAAAAAAAACGATTCAATTTATTATACAATAACAATGAACGAAAGATGAAATTATTCTTTTCTGGTAAGATATACACAGCACTGGCAAAGAATAAACATAAGATTTCTTCCAAACGCTTCGACTTGAAATCTTTTAAATATTAATAAGCGACTTTTAATGTTTCACGCCTGGAGAGCTTCACACTTATAACTATCTCCCTAATATAATATAAGTGACATACCAACCACTTCTAACAACAAAGAAATGAGGAACTTAGAATATGTAGTAGTAAATGCATTTCTTTATTAAGAACCAAATAACACTGAGTAATTTACCGGAAAAATTGTAATCAATTCAAAGGACTGGAAGCGTATTCTTATGAAAACTCATCTAGAATAACACTCAGTAAATCACAGCATCAAATAGTTAGCATTAAAATATGGAATTCTAAAATACATATTGGTGCTGAAAAACATATCTGTGACCAAAATCTACATGGCTATCGCAAACATCTTTACTAGTCTTAGTGTCCAAGTAAATAACTACCTGTAATCCAGAAGGTGGAAAATTGCTTAATACATCAAACTTGATAACGACTGTTCTTATGGTTACATTTAAATGCTCTAGCATATAGTTTTAAAACACTCAAGACATAATTTGTGGTATAGAGTGAACAACATAAATCAGGTATCAAGTGTCTTATGTTGTCTTAAATACTTTTGTTAAAACCATCAACTAACATAGCAACGTTTATGGATATCAAGGTATCGTTTTTTTATTTTGCTTCAATAGCCTAAATAGAAAAAAGCAATAAGGGAAAAATATTTTTAGCGCGTCTTTAAAAATAAAAGGACTTAAATTACGTATATATTGTCTATTCAGAAGAAAACGTATCAGTGTTTGTCAGCCATTGGCGACCTACGATCTGATATAGATCTGATAAAGTTTGAGTTTACACATTTAACTACAGCATGGCCTGAAGAAATTAGCCAGATTACTTGCCGATGGTTTTAAATGACAATGCTGGTAATGGTTTAGAAGTCTAGGAATATTTTAAGCAAAGAAACGTACCTTTCAAACGGAAATTATAGGATAATATAAGGCTCAACATATGAATAAAAACCAAGGGTGAATAAGCATACGTCACTAAAAAGTGATTCTAGGATATGCCGACTAACTTATCTAAATCTAGTTCACAATTATCCCGTGGATTTCAGGCAGTCTTTTCATCACTTGGTATTACTGAGATCAGTGACAAATGAATGTCTGGATAAGCTCCATATTTTGAGTCCGGCATATTCGTTGAGATCACCAGGAATTTAATAATGACTTAACGTTGAAATCGGCAGTTTTGTCGCGCCATATCCGTGTAGCAATGTGAATCAAATTAAATCAAACCAGTGTAATTTTTTAGAACCCTTCATGTAGCGCATTTGGTTAAGCTTGAAAATTTAGACTTAAATCAAACTGCCAAATACCTTTCGGATTTCAAAACAAACTGACCCGAAATCTAGACCGTGTTGTTCGAAAAATGTTGTAAAGTAATCGTAATGTAAACACCATTACCACGAAGTGGACAAAAATTTACGGCTGATAAAAATGTAATGCAGTGCTAAACTTTGTTTTTCGTTTGAAGATTTATTATAAGTCGTCAGGATACAATTGCTATAACTTACTTCCGAAACTTCTTCGTGTTTAAGGAAGTGTTAAAAATTCAGGCATAACATTACTTGAAATACATTTCAAATTAGGAGCTTTGCGTTTTGTACACTCCACGGTGTTGTGAGGTAAGATGCTCAAAATGTTCTTTTTTGCTTTTCAGACTTTAATAAACACGTTTCTACTTAACCAAAGAATTCCATTCAAATTGCATAATTTTGTTCTATAATATGTGTTTGGTTAAGTGTGTTGCTTGGGTTAAACAATATTAAAAGTTGATATATTTAATATATTTCGTAGATTCAGGCTTAAGCCAATATTATTCAACACTAATTACTGTGGTAATACAAAATATCTTTATGACAAATAATAGCCGCAATAACATCCCGTGATATGTAAGTTTATATATATATTTTTATTCGTTTATTATTATCATCATAAAACGTTTCATATTAAGAGTTTACCTTGATGGAGACTGTTTGTCTATCATTATTTTAAACAATTAAAAAGCTTTTTCTACTTTTGTCAAATAATTACTCAATCATAAATATAAAATATGTTGAATCACAAATTCCAGACCCATGATAATGAATAATACAGCGTTATTTGTCCTTCATTTACATATTACAAACGTAAACATTTAAATTAAAGTACTCTATTAGGATTATGAAGAAACATTGGGAAACATATCCTTTGTGACATATTTATCAATAGAATTTTTCAAAAGTCTCTATACTTCAGAATCGAAACCTTAGTCCTGTTTAGTAGATTGACGAATTTTAGGAGGTGGATGATAAACTACGTTTAATTAAATTTTGATTGTCTTAGAGTCAAAAGAATACACTAAATGGTCTTGAACTGTTGTTATTGATGATCACTCAAAATCATTGAGTCAAGCCAGTACAAACTTCAAACACAAAATTATATATTATTATATATTATATTATTAACGCCTTTATTCAATATTATATTTTTGTACAATATAGAATTCTCAGCACAGGGTATTTCAACAAGTTACTTATGCAAAAAAACAGTGACAAAGATAAAAAAGGAAAAAAAGGTATAAAAAAAGAAATCTGAAAAACTGTACAGCTTTTCAAATTAGAGACATGTTAAGAATGCAGGTTATTGATTAGATTAACTCTAACAACCTGTTCGTCACAGAGTATATTTGCTAGGTAAGGTGTTATAGAACTTTTATTTTTTTGCGTGCATGGATTTTGGTGCAATTACGTCACGTTCTACCAGATGATATACAAGGAGAAAGATAAGAGTGCAGGGGATGGTCAGTATTTGATAGAATAACACCTGCTTTGAGTTTGTATGACTTTGGATGTCTATCCACAACCATATTAATTATGACCTCAAAATATTCACCACACATCTTGCTAACTGCCTTCAGCACTCTCCGCAATACAGCAAGGTCTTTTCTCAAAAGCCCGTGAAAGAATAATGGAGAACAGTAGAGAATAATAGATAATATGCAAGAATTGACAAATTGTAAGAGTAAATGACGAGTAATCCCAAGAGTATGCAATCTCTTTATGTAGTAAGTCAGACGGTAAATCTTCTTAGATAACAATAAAACGTGGGAAGACCAAGAGAGATCAGAGGGGAAGGTAACACCAAGATAATGTACATAATATTGTGATCACATTTTCCTGAGTAATAAAAAACTCAGATAATCGATCAGAGTAAACTAGTTGACACGATTCTTGTTCAACTAGCAACACATAAATAATTTAAGTTCTTTTAATGTTACGTTAGTAGTATTACTCCTAGATCTATCCCTAGACACTAGAATAAAATAAATTTGACGCTATTCAAAACACAAGATATGTATTAAAAATGTGCTTTAGGAAAAACATAGTGTTTGGAAAACGATAAAGGTCATAGAAATCACGTGATAGCTATCTAAGCAGCTTTAACTTTGGTTGCAGCACTTGAATTAGATATTTACAGATACAAATAATACTTCTCTACAGTTAGCAAAACAGTATTAAGTTACTTATAAGAACTTTATAGCGGTTTAAATGGCTAAATGGTAAATAATTTATGGCTGCCGTAATAAAACACAACACATTTTCGCAATTATATCTGAGTTCACGAACAAAGTTTTGCACCACCGTTTCTTTTCTTTACGTCAATAAGAAAAATTAATCTAGCATATATTGACATAAATGTTTTGAACTTACAGGTATAATGATAGATAACGTGCGGACCTACACACTGAGAATGCCCTAAGTACTTGTAGACCACCAAAATTAATGTGAAGGTCTAATCTAAGCGCTAAACTTAGAGGAAACACAATTGAGCTAAACTCTGAAGATCTCAGTTGAACTCAATATAATAATGAGTACCGATTCTCCAGAAATTTTGATTCCCGTTTTAATTCTTTCACCCCAAGGTTCTTACCTAACGGCACCAGTGGTTTCCTACTTTTGGTTACGGAGGTTGGTTTGGGAAAGGTTTTTTACCATTGAAAAACTGAAACCGTGGACAATTAAACGAGGAAAAAGGTTTATCTTTTCTATTTGGTAGTTAACAACTGAAATCAATAGAGATTTGTCTATAAGACGTTTTAAAAATACCTAATATTTAAGTAAATAAAGAATACAAGAATTTATATAGATTATTTGCATCAGTATCCGCGTCGTTGTAAATCAAGCTACTTAAGTTTATTTACTAATAATAAATCGAATCTGATAGACATGTGTGTTATAATATCATTTTACAACAAAACAAACTTACATAGGAATCCGCGCTTATGCCAGAAGAATTATCAAATCCAGTTATTGTTATTGGAGTGCTGAGTTCGTCACGATTGCCTTGTGAATCGGCCATGGAATGAGGGTATGAAAGAAATTCAACATTTGATGCTGCACAATCGGCCTGAGGTAGTGCTCCGTATTCTGAAGGATAGTCTTTGAACGTTATACTATAATGTGGTTGTAACGGACTAAAATAATTTGACTGTTGGTTTCCTCCGAATGAACCTAAATTTTCAATATCAATGCAAAGCACTCCATTGGCTTTATTCATCTCAAAGGGTTTGTTACCAATAGTGCACTTGGAAGAAGGTAATAAACTGGTCACCTCCTCCCACCGACCCTTCTTTGGGGAAGCGTTCAGTTCTATCATTCACAGTTCAAGTAAAAAATTCCTGAGTGAACTCGAGTCATTAAAAGACATCTTTCAGGCATAATCCAAGGTAAGGCACTTTGATGGGTTCGAAAGTAAGTCAAATAAATGTATCTTACATTATGAAAATCTGTTCGTAATACTAACGAATATCAATTACTGAACTTTCAATTAAAGATGGGGAACTATGACTTTTGCAAAGTGAAGAATATAATTAATGGTATCGCGTGTATTAGAGGGTCTAAATACAAAATAATATTTCAGTCCACAACAGATATTGAAATCTAATTGCAGTTTTTAAAAACTTGTCACATTTCAAGGCCAAGTGGAAAATATCGACAAGACAAACAAAACAAAATACTTCAATACTTTCAGAACGAACTATACTTCGAATAAAATGAGCAGAAGGAATGCCATTCGAGATCTGTGTTTACGAAGTAGAACATAGTCTTCTAGTTTGAAGCTGTTTAGATTTCTTGAACAAAAATCTGAAAGAACGAAATGCAGACTAATAAGCTCTTGTTCGATTATGTTTGTAACTTCTTTTTCTTGTCACTAGGTAGGGATTACGTCTCAAAGTTACATCATGAATAAATCGATATATGTATTTAACATGGAATTTTCAGTGACGGTAAACTCAAGGCCATTAGCACTTTGAACACTGTAAAAGCGGCAGGAATGGATGAACTATAACATAAAATCTTGAGACAAATTTCATAATATTTTGCCTTCACGCTGGCTACAACATTTAATGTGTCACTTGATTAAGTTGAGTTACCTACGGACTTGAAGGATGCAATTGGCACACCTATACATGAAACAGGACCAAAACGACTATCATCAAACAACAGACCTGTCAGCCTCACCAGTGTTGTAGTTAAAACTTGTAAAGAATGACTTAAGGACTACAGTGACATTCCTGGAAACCAACAACTTATTAAACAGGAAACAACATAATACCAGGAAAGGATGGTGGGCAATGGATGTAGTTTCTAGATAATGCAAAACTAGGGGATGTCGTCTACAAATTTCAAGGAAACATTTGATGAGGTGCCGATAGATGGATTACTCTTGAGGTTGGAAAATCGAAGAATTACCAGACCTTGATAGATTGTGAACAGAAAGTTAGAATAAATTCCAAATGCTCCTCCTGGTAACCAGTACTTAGTGGAGTGCCACATGGCTCCGTCCTAAGTTCTTTTACTTTTTGTACTGTACGTAAACTAACTACCGAATATAGTTGAGTCCTCGATTCTGCCATGCGCTGATGATATAATAATCTGCCAAGAAATAAGAGGAGATGCAGATGCATGTGCGCTTTAGGTGGAATAAGACGCTCTGATTGATGTCTATCAACGCGGCCAAGTGTGTCTACATGCACATTGAGCATACAAAGGTAAGTAGGTACATCAGAGAGGAGTTGCCCGCTCTCATAGTCCAGTCTCACACGCATCCTGAGGTGACAATGAGTCTTAAGATCTTGAGACCACGGCCCACTGCCATAATGTATCACCTAAGCGGTTTAGAACACTATAGGTTGTAAACGGACATTTCTTAAGCGAAACATCACTATGTTGGCTACGAAATACACAACCTTCAAAACTGGGTTCGGGCTGAAACCCTCTGTCTAAAAGGTGACTCAGATATCTTGGAAAATGTACCCATGCAATTTCAGAACTCCGGAGTTTACCATACATAGAGTTGCTTCAGGAGCTAGATCTTTTTGTTCAATCATACCACAGGTCAAGAGGTGATCTTATTTTGGTTTATGGAATGCTAAAAAATAATTTTGGACCAAATGTATTCCCTTTTTTCATTTCTATCATACCCGGGCAACTCAGAGGACACACCAAGAACGAACAAAATACTCGTGGAATATATGTATTTACACTAACTCGTCAATTCTTGAAGCCTTTACCTTAAGAAGTGATGACTACGCCTTCAATCGACTCAATCAAGAGAAGATTAGGCACTCGGAGAAGCTTATAAAAAAACTAAAACAGATAGTAAGTAGTCTGTTTTAAATACACACACAAAATCTTGCAAACTAAGACTTTTACGACAATAAGATACAGGATGAATATCTATGATATCATTCCCTTTTTAATGACTTCATTCCTCGCCAATAACGACCAGTAATTTAATTATACGCACCATAATTATATCAGGCGTCGTGGGTCATAACAACCTTGTCAAATGAAAGGATGAGTAGCCAACCGTCCCAGACTAGAAAGACTGAGCGTAGTCTCCACAATTTTCCCATGAGAAAGTAACAGAAGTGGTTTTGAACTTAATAGCCTTCCAAGTATCGGTCATTTGCACTAACCAAGGAAGATTTATTGTGTGTTATTGGCTGAAGAGATCGGAACAAATATCACCACTAAGCATGGCACGCAACAAAATGCCCACCACCTACGAGATTGTTAGCTAGTAGACAAAATGTTCCTCTACCGCTTCATAACGATGTCCTAGCTATTTTTGAGGTATAATTACTGGCCGTACCTGTTTTGCAGTGTTTCCCAACCACACCACATGCAATGTATCTCTATAGACAAGAAAGATATGACATGGTATCGTGAAAAACACTGTTTTGATACCATTTTGGATAACTTATTCCATAAGTAGTATTGTTTGTCATCTAATTACAACTAGTTAGAAATACTGGTACCCTTTTGATGATGGTTGTAGTAGTTTTCCAAATTTCCGCTAGCTATAGTACAAATTCAGGTCAAAACAAACTGTGTAGCAGCAGTCTCTGCGTCGGTAAGCCTCAACATACACAAGAGGAAAACCAAGATCCTCAAATACAACACAGAGAACACCAACCCAGTCACTCTTGATGGTGACACTCTGGGAGAGGTGGAAACTTCCACGTATCTGCCTAAACAGCATCCTCGATGAACATGGAGGATTTGATACTGACGAAAAGGTAAGGTTTAACAAATTAATGACACTACTCATGCAATTGAACAACATATGGAACTCAAAACAACTGTCAACCAACATCAAAGTCACAATCTTCAACATCACCATCGAGACAGTTCTACTATAGCTAGATGAAACTTGGAGAGCTACTACAACCATCATCAAAATATTACATTTATTTCTAAACAATTGTCTACACAAGATACTCAATATCTGTTGGTCGAATACCATCAACAACAGTTTACTGTGGGAGAGAACAAACTAGCTTCGAGCTGATTAGGAAATTAGGAAAAGACATTGGGAGTGGATAGGACATATATTAAGGAAATCATCAAACTGTATCACGAAGCAAGCGCTAACTTGGAATCGTGAAGGGAAACGGGAAAGAGGAAGGCCAATGAATACGATGCGTTGGTAATCGGAAGTAGACATGAAGAGGATGAGTAGCAACTGGAAACATCTGGAAACGATAGCTGAGGACATAGTTGGATGATGAGCGGCCTATGTTCCTGCATAATGGGTAGCATTCTTAAGTCTGCAAGTGGTGAGATCTAGTAAGAATGAGTTGGAGTCCAGGTCGTACCTAGTTACCTTTTTCGCATGTTGCATCGGGGCAAATATGATAACCACATCAGCTAGTTCCCTTTCGAAGGGACTTTCTGGCAACCCAGATCTCAGCTTTTTCTAGTCCACCACGGGAGCATTTCTAATACTTTTTTTCATTTTACCATAAATATAGTTAGGTTCCTAACTTGAGACATCTGTGATCCACTGCTACTAGATAAGAAACCCATTAAGTAAATGCTTCTTCTATTCAGATTGCAGATTCTGTCCATAACCATTAAAACAGTTTGAATTAATCTGCTTGAATTCTCTACCGGCTGAGCTAGTCCAAGCGACTTCACAGGAGTCCTTCAAGAGAAAACTTGACATATTCTTAAGGACTAAGGATAGTATCTTACTATGATTTATCAATTTCTTTTTCCTCTTTTATCGGTAATATACCTAGGTTCATGCCTACAGGTAGTGGTGAACCACAGCTACTAAAAACGGAACCCCGTTAAGCGAAAGCTTCTTCTATTCCGTCCACAACCATTTGAACCATTTGGCTTCCGCGTACTTCCAACGGGAAGTTTAGTCCTAACGTGATTTGCATTCATCAAACTTGTGCTGTGTTTTTACGCAAAAAACGTACCATTTCCGACCAAAAGAATCTATCCTGAGCTATACGTTTGGTAGATTACTTTTTTTGGTTTCACCCAATTTAATAGTTAACTGTGGTTTTGCCTCAGCTTACTATTCGGTTTTTTTAGTTTTTCACGTAAAGACTAGTTCAGTTTATCTCATCCGTTTTATCCATTTTTGTCCGTTTTCAGTGTGCTTTTTAGTGTAGTTTTCACGGTCTTAGGCTTTTGCTAGCATCTATAACACAGTTTAGGTCAATACAGTCATGAAACATTCATGCAAACGAACTGGATGCCGTTTCGCTGTTACATCTGGCATGCACTGAGACAACTGCAAAGGTTGGTTCCACGAAGCGTGCACAGATCACACGGCAACTGCTTACAACAGACTCAGCTAGTCGGATCATAAGTGGGAATGTGTTACGTGCAGCACGGATGCTGTAGTCTTGCTAAGTAATATCATTGTCCTACTAACAGGTCTGCAGAGCCAGTTGTCGGAAACTCGGGAAAAAATGGTCAAAAAGTGGATAGACAAACAAGAGAGCGCATTGAAAACGAGAAGAGGGATGTCGACAGGTCTACCGACGACGGAGCATGCAACAGCATTAATGATGACACACTGAAACTCAGCACAATGATTACGACGACGGTACTCGACTCCCTCAGCAAACTCGCGTCTCGCAGCTCAAGGTCCTTGAACGCGACAGTGGTTCCCAAAAACTCTGTAGGTGATTGGACCCATGTTAAAAGAGCTAAAAAGGACCAGGCGTCACAGTCTAAGTTGAACATCCCAGCTGTTGGACGGAAGTCAACTGGTGATCTGTTCGCACAGTCTACCCCCAAGAATGTCCGTCCAGTCATCAAAGAGCCAAGGATTCATAAACGTGCTTCGACCCCCAAACAACAAGGTGCTAAACCTAAACTCACCGGAAAACCTGGGACGACAATAACGGTTCGTGATGACACTTTCATAGTTATGAACTTCAAAGACAACCCTGACCTTCCCCTCAGTTTGCAGGACAAAAATGATAGGATGCTCTGGGGAGAATTTAACAAGAAACTTGAACTTCTAAGAATAGAGCCTGTGACAGTCACACGGTTTACTCGAGGAAATGAATCTAAGCATCAAAATCACCCGAGGCTACTTCGGGTAAAACTTAAGAATGCTACCGACGTAGAGGATGTCTTACTAGCGAGTCATTTACTGAAATCAGATGGGAATGTAATAATACTGCCTGACATACCGTATTCTGAGCTCAATCTCATCCGAAACATCCCCAAAGAATCTCGCGAGAAGTTCTTCTGCGGGAGGAATATAATCGTGCAAGGTATACCGGAA